ACTTCACAGTCTTGATGACCATAAGGATTAATTCTGGTCATCAGATCTTACACTCTCCATGAGCAGAGAGATTCCTTCTGCCATCAAGACTTGCAGTCTCCATGATCAGAGGACTCTTCCTGCATCATACTTACAGTCTCATGAGCAGAAGGGATTCCTTACAGCCATCAATACTTCACAGTCTCAATGGCTGAAAGGGTCTCACTGGCTGTAAGGGATTCCTTCTGATCACCAACTGTACAATCTTGAAGACCAGAAGGGATTCCTTCTGGTCAAAAAGACTGTACAGTCTTGATGACCAGAGGGAATCCCTCCTGGCCAGTGGGAGGGAGGCAACTCCCAAACCTCCCACTTGCCAAGGAGGGTTTGGGGCACCAACTCCCCCCCCCCCAAAAAAAAAAATAGAATTGGGAGGTTGACTTCCAATCCCACAGGGGGGATTGGAAAAACAACTCCCACATACAGCCCCTTGACCGGAATGGGTGTTGTTGGCAAATATTTGGGAGTTGTTTTCCCAACCCCCTTGAACTACACACTTGATATAGAATATGAAGACAGTATTTAATCCTGAATGACTTTTGGCTGAGTGGTGCTAGCCTAGTAAAAAAAAGGTTAAATCAGAAGGTGTGCTCATGGCCGCTGAATTGACATTGGTATAAAGCCAAGCAGGTTTTGGATGTTCTTTACCAAACTGCACTGCAAAGATAAGACATAGGTTCGTGGAGACAGCAAGTCACAAAGATTGCTGTGGCTTTGCGATATGGATTCCTCTCCTCAACAACTAGAGTAAGAGTAAATTCACAATCAGCTCTTGGCACAGCTGCTGGTTGTGGGGGAATTACCCCCTGCTCTGCTGGATGATCTAGAGTAAGATTTCAATTCTGATCCCAATGGTGACAGTGAGCCATGTGTGTATATCTTAGGGACTCGGAAAAAAAACTCCCATTTTTTTGCCAACAACTCCCAACGACCATCAGCGGATGTCCGTTGGGATTTGTCTTCTAAAGTATGGGCGGACTCTGAGAGTTGTCCGCCCAATTTCAATTTCAATTTTTTTATTATTTTTATTAATTTTTTGGGAGTCGACTCCCCAAACCACCCCTCATGTATGAGGGGGTTTTGGGAGTCGCTACCACTTGACCGGAAGGAACCCCTTCCGGTCAGTGAGGAAGGTAAATCTCATCGGCTGGAAGGAATTCCTTCCGGTCAGTGAGGAAGACGTCCCTCATCGACCGGAAGATTGACAGGAAGGGATCCCTTCCAGTCAATGAGGTTGGGGGGTTTGCAGCAAGGGCCTCATCGACCGGAAGGACTCTCCTCTGGTCGATGAGGAAGCTAAACCTCATCGACCGGAAGGGATTCCTTTCAGTCGATGAGGTTTAGCCTCCTCATCGACTGGAAGGAATCGCTTCCAGTCAACGAGGTTGGGGGGCTTGCAGCTAGGGCTTCATCAACCGGAAGGACTCTCCTCCGGTCGATGAGGAAGCTAAACCTCATTGACCGGAAGGGGATGAGGTTCAGCTTCAACCCTTTCCGGTCAAGTGGGAGCGACTCCCAAACCCCCTCATACATGAGGGGTGGTTTGGGGAGTCGACTCCCAAAAAAAATTATAAAAATAATAAAAAAATTGAATTTGAATTTGGGTGGACAACTCTCAGAGTCCGCCCATACTTTAGAAGACAACTCCCAACGACCGTCAGCGGGCGGTCGTTGGGAGTCGTTGGCGAAAAAACGGGAGTCGTTTTTCCGAGTCCCATATCTTATTCACTTGATTGAATTCTGAATTAGAATTCCTTCTTCTTGCCCCTCTAATCAAATCATACTCCCCACATGTTTTTGTAGGCCTTAACTCAAATCTCCATGGGTTGCAGTGTAGATTACACACCATCATAATGAGGATACAATAACAAAGAGAACACAAGCCTGATCTGGGAAAGGGCCAATCAGATGCTCAAGAAAACTCAGTTTGTCCACTGCTTTGAAGACAAGAATATTGTCAAAACATCATAGTGAAATTGATCTTCAAACTTATGTGATATGACATGATTACTTTCTTACAGTGATGTTGATTTTACTTAGTGCACTGTAGATCTAGCATAATGTGAGTACAAGCATATCTAAATGTGACTAATGATGTGTATCAGTTGTCCAATCAAGCAGTGTGGCAATTTCCGTGAGAGTGGTGGAGTCATCCAGATTATAACTCAATTCAGATGATGAACAAGGGGGCTGGCAAAAGAGTCTTTTTTGGTGTGTCTCTTCAGACAGCCTGCTTCTTTTTGGGGGTTTCCTTGTCTCCACTTGGCAGCGTCTTGGCCCCCATCAGAATAATCAAAGTCCACTGCTCTACTTTGCCAATGTCACCCAGGTTTTGCTTGTATACAGTTGCGCGCGGCAAATTACTGTACAAAACCGACTTGGCTGCATGGGGCAAGGCCGGGGGTGGGTCGGGGGACCAAACCTCCAGATGATGATATTTTTGGAGGTTTCAGACTGTGTAGATTCTAAATCCAAAGTGGCAACCAAATTGGTCCAGCCAGTTTTTTTTTTTTTTTTTTTTTGGCCAGCAATCCGGACACATGCCCTCAGGCCGGCCTTTCCCAGGCGCCAAGGGAAGCCGGATCCTCCCAAAAAGTCTTGACCATCCGGACACGACTTGTACAGTAATTTGCCGCGCGCAACTGTAGTTTCCCATCTTTTGTATGATATGGCTGATGTTTGTAAGTATCAGATGGAACCACAAAGTAAAGCCTTGGGTTAGATTCAGACTTGTCCACCAGCTCTAGAGCCTTGCTGTGACCCTGATGCTTGATCGGGTGTCTTGGAAACTGTCACTTAAAAAAAGATTTGCTGGTCCACGCAACAAATCGATTGATGGCAGATGTTTACTGGCCCGGCTGCCAGAACACGTCGGTGCATAGGTCAACTTCTTTGTAAGTTCTGAAGATTCGACGTTTGGCTACAGGAAACGTGATCATAAGCTTCTGGCCACTTCGCCGATCCCCTTTGTCAAGTGGATGGGCTTGAAAGCTTCCGCCTTCTTGCAACACCTTGTGAGTGTGCATCTCAAATTGCATTCCGCGGAAATTGTTACCATTGCAAGAAGCTCAGAGCAAGTTTGGAAGGTCAATGCAAAGTTCTTGCTCATATCTTTTGGTCATTGCACTCTCAACTTGGTGTGATGCCCATGACAAGTGAAACCGAGTGAGTTCTCCAGAGGGATGGCTATAAATGTGTACCACACGATGTGAAAATTGTCCATCGGGAGTTTTGGCCTGATAGGCTTTCATAACATCCATTATGCCACCTCGGTATATGGCTTCGGTCAGTCTCTGATTCACCGCTCGAAATGCAGCGTCCTCGTCGCCACCCTTTCGTTTGAATTCAGTTGAGGCCCGAGCAAGGACGTATCTCGGCACACCGCCGTACCATTCAAAAACTCGGTCCATGAGCGTTGTGGGCAATATTCGTTCATCTGGATAGAAGATAGCTTTGCAAGTTTGCAATTCCTCATAACTCCAAGGCGGCATATACAATAGCTTTGAATTGTCGTCTTTGAGAAATTGGTGGTAGTGATTGTGCTGTGGAGAGGTGACGAGGAGAGTCCAGACGTTTCTCAATTTTGGAGCTCGACCATCCACAATGTGTACTGGGTCGAATTTTGCGAGAACGCCGTCAATCTCAGAACCCCAAGTATGGACCGGTACAATGCCGCTTGATGCCATCAAATAGCACACATCATCAGGAAAGAAGGGATTCTGCCACAACACAGCTTTTTTCTTGCGTGCAGCGATCCACATGTAGTAGACAGAAAAAAAGGTTTTTCCAATCCCAGGAGTACCGGTAACGACCCATTGATCATAGCCCTCGACCTCAAAAAGCTCGCAGAGCTCTTTGTAAATCGGGCGCACAAGTAGGCGGTGACCAAGTTTTTTGTCTCCGAGAATGTAAGCCTCTTTTAGCTCCAAGTATTCTACCTCCCCGTTGACAACCAAACTGGCCTCTGGTAGAGCCTTCCAGAAGCGTATGAGGCCCTCTTCAACTTTCGATCCTGCTTTAAATTCTGGGACTAAATGTTTAATAATCAAGCAGGAAGAGGGAAAAGAGCACAGAGAGAGATAGAGCTTAGTATTGCTGGCACAAGAGCTTGGGCACAGACGGAATAGAGGCTTGACTGAAGCTCACCTTTCACTATGAGAGGAGTCTCTGGTATGCTGCAACGGGAGAGTTGTGCCGCAATTTCCGCAAGGACTGAGTCTGTAGCCAGCGCCTCTGCACGCTCATCGACATGCAGGGTGATATCCGGCGTGGCGAAGTCACGCAGATAAGGCGAGAATTTGTTTCTGGCTGCCTTGGCGAGGTGATCGACGAACTCGAGCTCTTGTGTTCGAACGCTAGTGAGCTCATTGTTGTACGATAGCCAGATTATGGCAGGAATGCCTTTCGCTGTAAGAGGAGTCTTCGGGGCAACGCCCGATTTTACTACAAATAACGAGACGCAAAATGAGCAGGAAGAGGGACAAGAGCACAGCGAGAGCTTGAGCTTAGTATTGCTGGCACAAGAGCTTGGACACGGACAGAATGGAGGCTTGACCGATGCTCACCTTTCACTATGAGAGGAGTCTCTGGTACGCTGCAATGGGAGAGTTGTGCCGCGATTTCCGCAAGGAGTGAGTCTGTAGCCAGCGCCTCTGCATGCTCATCGACATGCAGGGTGATATCCGACGTGGCGAAGTCATGCAAAGAACGCGAGAATTTGTTTTTAACCGCCTTGGCGAGGTCAACAACAAACTCGAGCTCTTGTGCTCGAACGTTAGTGAGCGTGTTGTTGTACGATAGCCAGATTATGGCAGGAATACCTTTCGCTATAAGAGGAGTCTCCGGGGCAACGTCCGATTTTACTATAAATAACGGCACACAAGATGTTTAGCGATCAAGCAGGGGGAGGGAGCAAAGCGAGAGCTTTAACCAGGCATTGCTGGCACGAAAGCTTGAACACGGACGGAATGGAAGCTTGATGGAGGCTCACCTTTCACTACAAGAGGAGTCTCTGGTACGCTGCAACGGAAGAGTTGTTCAGCGTGTTCTGCAAGGCATGCGTGTGGAGGGAGCGCATCAGCGTCCTCATCGGTATGCAGGGTGATCTGCGAGATGCTACCACGTAATTCGTCTGGAAATTCTTTTCCCGCCGCCTGCGCGAGCTCGCGAACGATCAAGAGCCCTTTCGTTTCAACGGCAAAGACTTGATTCTTGAATGATAGGTAGATTTTCGGAGGAACCATCACGATAAGATGCGTGTGTGCCCACTTGGGGTTGTGAGGGCTGTTGATCAAGTAAGAATTGACTGCTCAAGACAGAGCCAGAACAGAAGTGAAGAAACGATCAGTGCAAGAAGAAAGAAAGATAGAGAGAGATTGAAAGAAATCACTTACCAGTATGATTTCGAGTAACCACGAGAAGTAGACGACTAGGAAAGAGCAGCGAGAAAGATGAACCAGGGTATGAAGGAATTAGATTCGAGTACGGCGAGGGACGGTCAAGTTACTTCTGACCAAATTGCTGATGACCATCAATCGTGTTTTTAGTGAGTCGATCTCGTCGAGGATGAGGGCGCTCCGCGGATAGTTGAGGCTGGTGGTGTTGGTCGGACGGGGTTGAGTTGGGCAGGAATCCTGTTGACCCTCACCTGGTCAGATCCGCTCTGATCCGCCCCGCCCGCTTCGTCGGGCTCTTTGGCCCTCGGGCCTCATCTCGCCAGGCCCTTTGACCCTCGTCCCTCTCTCTTGTGCGATCTGCTTGCATCTTAAATACATATCACGATCGAATTCGATCTCACGGCAACATCATTTCCAGTTGTTTGACTAATCGCTATACAACATGGATCAAATGGAGTGTCTCCAGAGAAATCGGTCTGGAGCCCGATTCAAGGAGGAAGACAAAATATAAAGGACCACCCAGGGAAAAAAACCATTGCCTCATGACCCACCCGGGGCATTTCCAGGGTCTATGTAGTGGGGTTCAGGATGGATCTCGACTTGTCCCAACCCAAACCCCAGTTCACACCCTGAAGCTTCAGATTCTCGGTTTTCATATCTCTTCTTGTATGAAATCTCCCCCCAATATTCTTTCTCCATATGATGTAGAATTCCAATTGATGGATGTATCTGCAGTTTTTTTTTCTGACTTCAAAAAAAAACATATGCGAAGGGAATCTCAAAAAACAGCCAAAAGTTTGACTTGGATTATGAACTTGGTTATATAGTGATGTTGAAGATTGAACAGAAGAAAAACCAAAGATTCAATCAATTAAAGGGGAGGGGGGGAGGATGTGTAGGGGAAAAAGTAGACCAATGAGACCATGTAAGATATATATTTTTTTCAGATACCATTCTAATGAGAAAAAGGAAGTTGTGTAAATCAGATTTGTTTTCTCTAAGCATCCTCTTTTTTCTAAAAAAAAAAAATGGAAAAAAGTGTCAAAAGAAAGAGAGAGGATGAAAAAAGGGTGATCATTTATTCATTGACAGCTTCATCATTTAAAAAAATCATCATGGTTTCTTCATCATCAACAACAAGACCAAGACCAAGAAGGAACAACAACTGATAATTACGAGCATTTTTGTTTTGTTTTTTGTTCTTATTGTAGTCCTAATCGAGCTGCAAACTACTCATCAATTGAACACACACACACAGTCCCACAAAAAAACACACAGAAAAAATAATAAGTTTCCCCTTTGCATCAAAAACAAAACAAAAAAAAAAAAAAGAGAAAAGGAAGAAAGGACAAACCTCAGGATAATTTTCCATGAACACCAATTGAGCCATAGCAGCGACATGAAACTGAATGAACTGAGAGAGACCGAGTTCCGTCATAGCGACCTCGATACCCTTTTCATACCATTTTAATGCCTCCTTAATCTCGTTTGATTGGAGCTTAAATTGGGCTAAATGTTGGATGGCCACCTCGCAATTCGAGTCGATCTCTAAGGCTTTCATACAGCTCTCTGTCGCTTTCGCCACATCTGATTGGGCCGTCGCATACACTAATGCTTTGTTGACCCATGGTAATACGTTCTTCGGTCCCGTCCTTTTCCCAAACAAAAATCAAATTTTCCCTCATTCCCAATTAGTCTACAACTCCGAATCTTCTCATCTCTCACTTTTGGGGGATTGTATGGACGAGTGTTTTTAGAACGAACCTGTTTTCCTCTAATTGAATGGCCGAATCGAAGCGTTTCAAAGCTTCATCAAATTTCTGTTCAGCAAACAGCAACTCTCCATAATAATTATGAACTTCAGGGCTAGAAGTTTCGTGACCATCGACGACCATATATTCCTTAAACATCTGCATAGCCTTTGGGACGTCGCCATTTTTATAAGTGGCCACGGCGAGTTGGACGTGGGAGAAGATAAAAGAAGGGTCGAGGTCGATAGATCTCCGATAATCTTCGATCGATAGATGGTGTTGTTCAGTCACATTATAGACCTGTCCTCGATGGTAATACACGTCCGGGTCATTTACATCGATCTTTAGCGCCTCTGCGAAGTCGTTCATCGCAGTTTCTAAGGAGCCTAGTTCCATGTTCACACTCGCCTTCCGGATCCAGGCTTGGATTAGATCCGGCTTCTCCTCTAACGCACGGTTAAAATCTTCAAGCGCCGCTTGCGGCTGGCTCATCAGGAATAGGAACGTCGCCTTCATTAAATACCCATGCGCCCGTAGCTCAGTCGTACTAGGTACTTGCTCAACTGCCTCGTGGAATAACGAACATGCATGGTTGTAATCAAAGTTCGCAAGCGCATCGTATGCCATCATTAAGGTATTGTCGGCTTGGTTAGGCTCTGGTGGTAGTGATGGCTTTGGCTCTGGAATGATGGAAAACAATTTATTTTTTTTAAAAAAAAACGATAAGTGTTGGAAACTCATGTGAAGAAGCGTAGGATAGAGAACATACTCTGTCGGAATGCATCCAAATACGCTCGAATAATCATGTTGGATGGCAACCTTGGGCCGCGTTCCTGTGGTGATGCAGAGTCAGAGTAATGTCTTTTTGGAGACTAGACTAGCTGAGTGAACGGTGCCAACCTTTATGATCGACTTTGCTTTTTCGCCAGCATACCGTTTCATCACCCGATCGGCCGTTTCACCCTTATGATCTGTTTTAAATTCATCTAGGATCACACAAGCAGTGAAATCTGCGCGAAAAAAAAAGATAGATAGAGAATTTGAGAGGTGAGTAAAATTGGAAGATAGATAGTTGATTACTCTTTGGATATTAGAACGGACCACATAAGGCCAGGAACAAGTTTTCCTCTCCTCCTAGTAATTCACGAGCTGATGCTCTTCGGTTCAAGGCCTTGATGTAGTGTTTATCTAATCGAAGGGCCTCTGTACAATCCTTGACAACTGCCTCTGGATCATTAAGATAAGTGTAACCTACAAAAAGCAAGAGAAGTGGCTCTTAGATTAGTTTTTGTGGTGCTGTTTTTGTTGTTGTTGAATGAGCTAGTATCTTACAGGCAGCTCGATTGCTATAATAGACCGCCTTTTGTTCACATTCGATCGCCTTGGAATAGTACTCGATCGCCCGTTGATAATTTTTTGCTTGGTATGCCTTATTTCCGTTAGTTTTCAGGATGAATGCATATCGACATCGTGTTTCTTCTGGTAAACTCTCGATGACCTCCTTCGTGAAATTGATGGGATCTACAGCAGTGGGGTGTTTTTTTTTCGTTCTTTCAGTTACAGAATCATTGCAATTTTTGGAGAGAAGTTATTACCGACCATCCTCTTGATCATCTTCTTCGCTCTTCTGTGAACTTGAGAGTTGACTAGATGGTGGTAGTTGATGATCGCTCTTCTGATTCTGAGGGGTGGTGGTATTCTTTTTCCGGTTCTTTTTCGATTTTTTTGAGTCCTTTTTCTTTTTTGAGGTTTTAGAACAAGAAGAGGAGGAGGAATTTGTTGAGTTGTTTGAGGATGAGCTGAGATAGATCGTTCCTGCTGTTGCTGCGATGGCTATGGAGAGTGAGATGAGTAGTGCGCGTCTGTTTGATTTGACAAAGTCGGTTAGTCTGCTGATCGTTGTTGTTGTTGCTGGTGATGGTGAGTTGCTGATGGTTGAGCTCATCTTGAAATGAGTCAAGCTGCTTGTTGATGGTTGGTTGGTTGTTGTTGTTGCTTGGTTGGTTGGTGGTGGTTGTTGGTTGGCTTCGATCGGTCGGTGCTGATCGGTGCTGGTCAAGAATGGTCAAGAGAGGGTAAAAAGCTGTGACTGGCTTACATAGCACATCATGCATATATGCAACTTCACCAATCAGTTTCAGTCTGGCTTATCTATGTAAGCTTAACATCACAACCGAGAAGATATGAGGTTAAGTTAAATCTACATAGATATATCCCCGACTTCATCAAAGCCCCCGATAGGGAACACGGAACGATCGGACAAGAGTCCAGGACACGATCAGCGTGAGGCAAGAGTGATCAAGACTTCGCAAAGGCTGCTTCTGGATCAATACACCAATGTGTTAGAATACTAGCATCAGCTATATATGATTTGTATTTCAACACAATGTGCTCACCATTTAACTAGCAATTCGCGTTCGTTTGTCTCTCTTTTAGCTTGCTCATTGCAAACCACTTATTTTGGATCGAGGAGCGCGAAGAGAAACAAAAAAAAAAATTAGATGGAACGATGAAGTACTGATTCAGTGTATGGATTGGTCAGTTTCTATATCCCCAGGCCAGAAGACATCACACAAACCAGAAGACGTTGAAAGTCTTGCTCCCTAGAGGAATGCACGACATGTCCATAATCGACGATGCGAAAAAAATGTAGCAAGCATACCCATCAGAAGGTCACCACAAAAGACAGCAAGAGTGCTATGTTTCTTTTGTCTGATTTATCTTCAGCTGGGCACACCTGTTTATGTTTTCTTAGATCTTCCCTAAGCTAACTTACAAAGAAACTCCCAACTTCTTTGAGTCATAATAATCGATTCATTTGTCACACAGACATATTTTAAGCTATGGTCAAAGGAGGTCTGGGTACGATCGAGCTCTTCTTCATTGACCAATATTTGCATTCGATTTCCGGCAAAGCCTGGAGATGATTGATGACTTGCAATGCACCATCTTGTTATCTTGGTTTATGTAGAGATACATACTTATACTTATAAATCACTGATATACATACAAGAGATTTAAGCGTCTATGAGATTATCAACGGAGTGATAATTCATTTTAACTGATTCAAAAAACATCCAGTAAGGAGGAGATTAAGACAGAACGAAAAAAAAGCTGTATGTATTTACATTTTGTTTTGTTTGATTCAAGAGGAAACTTCCCTAGCTGATTACGTAGCATTCCCCCTTGGGTATGAGGTATAGGAGCTATAGGGAATCCCAGTGGGATAAGGAAGGAGCCCCGCAGTATGCTCACAGTTCGATAGAAAGGTGAAGGAGAAGGGGGAGTTCGTGTGAAGGCGCGCGCGCTAGACACTCGCGGCTGAAGCTTGCATGATGGATTCCTTTCAATGGATGAACTTTCATGATCGCTTTCGTTTGGACGCACTTGGTTGGGTCTGTGGCGCCTCACGTTGGGCTGCACGTCGGGCTTCACGATGGGCTTCAAGGAGCATTTTGAATGCCTCGGCCGATCGTTTGAAATCTTCCCACTCCTCCAATTTCTTATCAATCTGCGCCCTCTTCCTGGGCACCTTCGCCTTTTCCGGTAGTGTCGGTCCATGCTTGGCGGGATAATGTGTCTCAAGCTCTTCCAAGGTTCCATACAGACTGTTACACTTCGAGCAAACAAATGGGCACCGTTCCACTTCCATCTTCATGTCCGCTTCGGTTTTCTTGCGCATGTGCAAGTTCGGCTCGAACTTCTTGTCGGGATAAGTGCTTTTGAAGTGTTTGATGAGCTCATTATCCCGTTTGTAGCTATGCCGTTGTGCACATGCTGTACATTCGACTGTCGTTTGGTTTCAAATAAAGGCGCACGAAGACGAGACTCAGTTATAACTTATTTTTTGCAGGGTGTGAAAGATTTTAGAAAGTGCTACTTACTCTCCTTCATAGGATTGTGTGTTATAAGATGTGCCTCCAGGTTTGACAATCGATTGATTCTTATGATTGTCGTGCACCCTTCAAAGAGGCAGGCAACCGAATTCGAGACTGTTGGCGACCATCAAAATCAACCAGTAAATTGCATACCTCTTCTCATCGATTCTCAGTTTCTTAGAGGAACTTACCTTTTTGGACTGTCCTTTCCACCGACACATCCTGTTGCCCTTCAGGGCGCGCAACCAATTGCGCTTCTTGGCTATATAGTCACCATTTTTTTTTTCAGCACAGCCAAATTATAAAGCAATGGATGTCTGCTTAATATAAGAAATTTTCCCGCAAGATGAAGGCAATACGCACCGTACAGCTTTTGAACCTCCTGCAATAGAAGGTGCGGTCGATGTCCGCTGGTTACCTTCTTCGACTGGCCTTACCATCGACCCATCGGATTGCCCTTGCGGGCGCGCAACCAATTGCGCTTGTTGGCTATATATTCACCGAAAATAAAATCAAACATGGTCAAGTAATGTCAGCTTAAGATTAAGAATTTTCCGCAAGACGAAAACAATTCGCACAGGACATCGTTTGAACCTCCTGCAATAGGAGCTGTCGTCGATTCCCGCTGGTTTGAATCTAGTGTTTTTGAAAAAAGCCACCGATAAGTTAGACATGTTTTCTGCCGTCGTTAATTGAATTAGCACATTAAATTTGCAGGATGGTCGAAAAAGGCTTACCGACTCCAGGGCTAGGAGAGTATCCTTCGGCCCGCGTTGCAGCAGCAGGTGGTGATTGTTGGCTAAAATTACCCGGATGATAAAGCAACAAGTTTTGGTCTATATCTTCATGTTTTTCATGTTTCCTTGCAAGATGAAGTTGATACATACGAAGTGTATGAGCCTCCCGCAACAGATTCTGCGCTCACGGTCTGCTGGGTTGCATCTGATGATTTGATTTCATACAAGTTAGATTCATTTGCTACCCTCATTAGTACGTCACATATTTAAGCGACATTTTATTTGAAAAAGGCGTACCAACGCGTGATGTTCGTTCATATGCATTTCGGGATTCAACCTTTGCATCTATGTATGCCCACCATCCAATTAGAGTGCTGTTGTTGAGTCTTTTTCATTTTTAAAATTTATGAAGCGATTTGGAGAGAATGCTTGGTTAAAAGTTGGAAGTAATGGCTAGGGTAGAAGGAAGGGGCTTACCTATCCCACAGTTCTAGAATCCGTGCGGCATCAGCTGAAGTCATATCATTGATTGGGTCCATGATGTTTAATTTCCTGTGGCCATTCAGCATAGATTCCATTGTGAGTGAAGCTGGAGTATGCTATCAGATCTTAGAATAGAGAAAGAGAATTGCATTGGAGAGGGGAGGAATTTCAAGAAGGCACTTTCGTGTCCAGGAGTAGTCGAGGCATTGCTGGTTCATGTTGTGGCTCTGGTGTAGCTTAAAGCCGAAGGCTTTAACAGTTGGTGAAAACTTCCATACCGCAAGTAGGTGTGGTCCATAAGGACGCGACTGGAAGTAAACACCAGTAGTGCACACAAGTAATAGCAGATATGTATGCCGAGCAACAAAAAAGTTGCGCAGGAGATTGAAACTGGGAATTGAAGAACATTTAAAAGTGCTAGCGTGATTATTCTTGGAAAAAATATTTAAAGTGGAAGGGACCAAGGGAAATATGCCTAATTCGTGAATGATAATTCTACTCCGCTGATGATGGCGGGAGAAGAGAGCCTGGAGACGTAGGCGTCTGAAGATATGGAAATGTTTAACAAAAAGATCATGACTCACAGTTTCTAAGCGTTAATTTAGTTCTTCGTGGATATTGTAGAGATGGTCGGCTTAGGGGGGGGGGGGCGGATGGCAGATCAATGGAAGTGGTTTGTGGGGCTGTCAGATTCAGTTTTCCTGCGGATTTTGACTCTTCTTATAGAGAAAACGACAATAGCCAGTGATGGCCACTGGCTCAGCGCTCTTCAGTCTGTTCCTTTCGTTTGGTTGCACTCAGCCATCGTTCCTTTGATTTGGGCGGGGGTTACTTGACTGAGCCTGAACATCTCATCGATCCTGATCAGGCTTCCTTTGATTGTAGTCATTTCCTTTCCTTAGTCGCAACAATTTAGCCTTAGGATCTCATCAGGCATACTCAAACACCTGAGGCTAAGTAGAATTCAAAGCCAGTGACTCAGACAGGGTACAAATTCCTCATTAATACAGGAGGAATTCTACGCTGAACTGTCCGCGGATTGAGCAATGTTCAGCTTGAGTCCAGCACCCCCACGATATTGAACGTGCCATATGTTTGTGCCCCTGACAAAATACACAATAAATAGTTGATTTAAGTACCAAAGTAGTTGCCGACTCAGTAACTGATGCGATTTGATCCAAACCAACCCAACTGAGGACGGAATTCAAAGCAGATAATATCTACATAACTAAGTAGACAGACGTTTATATCCAATGTGTAGAAATCATCAGGCATGGTCGTCCATTTTTATGGCCACATATTCTTATTTTCATGGGAGAATCACAACGGGATATGCACCATTGAATTTGAAGACTGTTGTTTGAGGAGGAAAGCTTATGAAGCGCGAGGGCTGCCAAGTTTCTTAAATTTCTATATTGCAAGATTACTCATGGTGAGCTGTAAAAATAGACCACGGACAAAAAGGGGTGATTTGAGTCCCAACCGAAAGCTGAACACAAGTTCATTTAGTGAATGCTACATCATATCAGTGATCATTCATCCTCATCAGTGTTCTCTCCTGCAGGACATTTGAATGTCCTAAACTTCTCTCCAGTCCTATCTTAAATACCAAGTCACTTCGGCTTGGGAATGCTTCGAGTGATGCCAAACCCTCCGAAGCAAGGGACTTGAGTCAGGTTGGATTCTAGCCAAACTATCAACGAAATGGATGACTCCCTCAAATTTAGCTGCGTTTGGAATCAGCATAAGATATAATGGAAATGCAGGAAGGTGGTTGTCAGTCAATGACGCGCGGTCCGACGCAATGCAATGGGAAAATGCTGACATCCAAAAACAAACCTGTTCCTAAAGAGCTTTCATGGATGTACTTACAAGTACGATCCGTTTGCCTTTCTTAAACTCATATTTCTGACCCGGGACACGGATGAGCTACCTGCTTGTAAAATCTAGGTATGAGAGGCAGAAGACTGAATGCCCTGGTTTTTAGTTGGCTCAGCCTCCAACAAATCTTCAAAAGGAACGAAATTCCGAGTGGCACTGCCGGGAAGAAAGCTTGAAGTCAAAAGGGGTTTTCTCTTCAACTTTAATCGCTTGTAGTGCGTCAGGCACGACCTGTAACTGTGACTGAAAACATATATAAATAAATAAAAACGTACGGAAGTCCAACCGTTCACAATTTCTCGAGTGCAAGTGATCAAAGAAGTCATCATTTAGCTTCGTCTATGATTTCCTCCAGCTGGGTCATCTTGTTACTTTTTTTTTCTTCAGCGATTTCGATCAAGACAATTCATTTTTTATTGCTAAAGGGTATCTTGATCGATAACATCGTTGCCTTTGATTGTATGTACCTGATTGTTTTTGCTGATCAAGTTGACTTCTTTGACCTCTAAAGCTCCAACAATATTGCACTTGCTGTGAAGATCACGAAGAGACTCTTTATTGCAAATCTTTATTTTAACAGCCAGTAGTAGTAGATTGACTAACAGAAAACAATCAGTTAATGTTGAGTTTTCTAGTATCCGCACTCCTAGCCGCGACCTCAGCCGCAGCAAAGATAGCCGCAATTCTTAAAAGACTGAAAGTACCGCTTATGGTTTGGGCTCAATACTCATCAAAACCGCTGCCCAAACCAATCATTGAACTCTAGACTCGACAAGAACTTTGACTCTACTTCTTCAAGAATCTCAGCGATATCAATCTCGCCAAGTGTGGATGCAGGATACTTATTGGATAAGTGGATGAAGTTGTTGGCGACGTTTTGGAATAAGAAGAGGAGGTCTTCCTTGCGGTAAACTTGTGTGCAAAATGGATATGGATTGGCACCGACGAGACGATTTTGAATCGTATTATAATCAAACTCCATCATGTCTCGAGCCGACGGGTTGGGATTGGCGGCGTTGACTGGAGGAGCGGCCAGCTGGGTGTTTCCCCACTCGGTGGTGGGGCCAAAAGGAATAGATTCTGGTCTGGAGTTGGAAGAGGAATCATCGTCGATGACCATGGGGTCAGCGTACAGCAGTTCCCATAAAGCTTGCGGTCGCGAGCTCCTGGGATCCCAAACTTTTTCTTTTTTTGCGCCTCACTTTTTTGTGCCTCTTCGTCCTGTATCTGGCCGTGTACAGCGACAGTCTTCCAGGCATTGAGGCCCAACTCCCTCATTTTTCGAGTTGAGAAGTCGGGAGTTGGACCATCGGAATCCTCTCAATTTTTTGAGCAGGAAGCCGCCATCAGATCGGTGCATGCCCGGCCCCCACCGGGCAACTGCCAGGTTACCGGGCCCCAATCGAGACCTCGGTAACAGATTTGTAACCTGTACAGTCATGTGTACAGGTCACGAGGCGCAAAAAAAAGGTGGAAAGAAAATAAAAAAAAATCGGATCCCAGGAGCTCGCGAGCGCAAGCTTTCTGGGAACTGCTGTAGGAGTTTCCAGATCCCGTGGCAGGGTGATTGGGCCTTGGTCGAGTAGCATAAAACACTTCAGAGGGCGGAACCAAGCAAAGATCCAAGGAAGAAGGGGACGGGAACGCTGACGAGTGCGGAACGGACGGAAGTTCTGAAGTTGGGGCGCTGGATTTAGAATTGGACCCAGATCTGAAGCCGTCAGAAATTGAGGTGCTCAAAGATTCGGTGGCCAAACTCCTGTCAGTTGAGCCAGAGTTGAAGAAATCAGGACTTCTGAGTCCTGGTGGGAAATTCCCAGTCGAGGGGGTAAAATGAGGAGACCAGCATCCTTGGACCAGGTAAAAATTTATCCCAGTCTGCTCATATTAAAAGAATAAAGAAAGAAGGAGATCAGTATCATCAACGGTGCAACAGAGACAATACAAGACGGTATCAGGTGTTTATTCGTATTGTCTCAGAATTTGAATACCCAAGAATACCGGATTTGTGTTGTCTCACTTTCCTGAGACAATACACATGTATTGTCTTTGAAAAGTGAGACAAGTATTCTGTATGGTCTCAGATGACTGATCCCACCAAAACCGTATTTGATACACAATGTATCTAGCCGTATTGAAGAAAAAAGAAAAAAAAGGCAATTTTTTTTTCATTCGTAAATCCGATCCCAAGACTATAATTTTTTTTCACCAACCAAGAAAATACTGATACCGGTATCAGGCTCAAAATAAAGACGGTACAATCCGATACAAATACATGTCTCATATCTGTTGCACCGTTGGAATCATAGTCGAGCAAGGAAGAAATGGAGGAGTGAATGAAAACTTACTAAGGAAGGATCAACATTTTGGCTGACACGACCAGATTCTGGGGCCACAGTTGATGGGTGTATCTGTAAAAGAACAAATCAATATATCAGTAACCAAGGAAGATATATTGGTTGAGGATGAAGAAGGAGCTTACCTGGACAGGAGCCTTATTCACTGGAGTGAAAGGTCGAGCCGGGCCTGAAATCATGTACTTATTGGCGTGAAGTTTGGCGGGAGAAGCCGAGGAGTCTGAGCGGATGGCCTGAAAACCCTGGGACACCCACAAAATAAAACACCATCAGTAATAGACCAAGGTCAAGTAACAATAGAAACAAAAAGACTTACCAAACAAATGTCCAAGGTGCCATTGGGGGCCTCTATCGATGACAAAGAGAAGAAGTGAGTCAGTCATCGGCAAACCAAAAGGAAGAAGGAACATACCTGGGGTGGAAAGACGGGAGTCTCATTGGTGGTCTGAGCTTTAGAGCTTTGGGTGGTTACCATTTTTATGTGTTGAAGGATGGGTAAAGAGATTTTGAAGTAGGCCTCAAAGATGTGAAGTCTTGAAGATGTTGCTGTTGAGTAAAGAGCTGGGGAGAGTCGAGGAGGACAGATGAGACATCTTTATATACTGAAGCTGACGAGTCAAGAAATCGCGGTGAATCCTCTTCTCAAAGGGGGAACCCCATTGACCCCCCCTAGAACAGAAAGGAAACATGCATAGCAAAAGGAAAAGGGAAATGAGAGTTACCTTTGGTGGGCAATACACAAATAAGAATGTAAAAAGACCGAGTCAAAAGTCGCCAGGATCAGCCAGCAAAGGAAGCCAAGTTGCGGATGAAAGGAGGAAGTTCTGGAGAGAATGGAATCAAGGGCTTGATAGTGGGGATTGGCCAGGAAAGGAAAGGGTAGTGCGTGGAATTGATGATAGTGGGGATCAGTCAGAGAAGAAAGGAAGACTACACACTACCGGGCCTGTTGCTGAAAATTGGATGTCATAAAAAGACAAGCGGGACCGATGGGGATGTTCTTGGGAAGATACACTACTGGATGAAGGGCGCAAAAGACAAGAGAGGAGATATGGAATGGGTTATTGACTAGTTGGTTCTACACGACCAGGCCGAGTCTGAGAAGGCGGAGGAAGAACAATTTTCAAGACTGGGGGATAGACGTAGAGGACAAGAGCGCGTCCAGTTGGTCGGAAGGACCTGCTAAGTCAAGGCAAAGAGGGTTAGCAAAACCACCAAAAAGTAAGAGAAAAACAGAAGAAAAACCTACGAATTTGAGGATACCATTGGCAAAGATCCCGTCGAGAAGATCGTCGAAAAAAAAGATTGACCAATAGGTGGATAGTCTGTTGGAATTTGGCCTCTTTTATTCTCATCCCCAAAAACCCATCTATCTCAACTTTAAAATTAACCATGTTTAGATAAATAATACAAATCATTTTTCTCTGTTTTTGTGGGTCTTTGCGTGGTATCTTTTCAATTTGCCTAGTGCTGAAATCCATGTAGTCTTTGAACCCTGGTCTAGTCTTTATCAGCTGTCATTTGCTCCAATAATCCTTACAAGGATATGCTAAAATCTTTGTTATTCATTTTGATATTCAATTTCTCTCAACCACAGATTGAACTTGTTGTATGTAGTCTATTTAACGCGTAGGCTCTACTAGCAAATGAAAATCATTGGCTCTCTCCCTCTTTTTTTGACCCTTGAGCCTTTCCATCAAAAACTAATTTTTGTTGCCCAAAAATTCTCCCCGTCTACGGTCAAAATTTCTTCATAATCAAAGAGGGGATGATATGGGGAAGAGAGGAGTTGAAGGAGGGAGATACACTACCGGGCCAGAGTGGATATCCTGGAAGATAACTAGAGACCTGTGAAAGGCCAGTGACAGACGGTACAAAGCAAAGGAAGACCAGGGAAAGGTGGCACAACTTTTTAGGACTACTGCGTGCGCAGCAACACAAATCAGAGGACGTGAAAGGCTCTGTGAACGGCGCAAGTTAAACTGTCACCTGATTAACTCCAAATTCGAAGTCAACCAACCAACCGGACCCCATTTCAAGTCCCCAACTAGGCAAAACCATTTCACAAACACCACTCCACACCAAGGACATGGGTTCCAACCCCACCCTGGAACAAATTGTATACACAATAAATTCTGGGTTCAATTCTCACCCAAGGAGTAAATTTCTGAGAAATAAGAAGGCTGCCTGTTCAATTCCCAGTCTCAACCAAATATAGCCACAAAAATAAGATAAACATAAAAATTATCAAAGTGTTCATTATCATTATTGTATCATCTAATATTAGATTCTGAAATACAAAATACTCAAAGTCTAGCCTTCAAACACATTCATAAAATCAGAATTGACTGGGGACAGTCAATAAGTTGGGGGAGGATGTGGTCATTATTCCATTTTACACTTCAATCTTCCTAAGGTACTCTAGTCAGGGATACGCCGCAGCATATCCCTTAGGTTAGCTGTGGATTCGAAATCCTCCAGCTATCCGAGTTTGGGTGGTTAATAGAATTTTAATCAATCATTTTTAAACATAACAAATTATTCCAAAAGATTAATAATTCTATGGACCAAAGGAAGATATTAATTTTTTCTTTTTCTTTCATCTGAACTGTTTCAAAATTTGTAAACATAAATGTTTTTTATTTCCAAAAAGGAAAAGGAGATAGGTTTGGAGCAAGAAAGCTATCCAAAGAAGGGAGGGTGGGAGGACAAAAAAGAAAAAATTCTCGGGGATTTTTTAATTTGTAAAATAAGAGTAAGATTGAAGGATAGGATAATGTTGAAGAGTTGAGTGATGGAGTGAGGAGCAAAGTGGGGAATGAAGACAGGGGATTAAATCCCCGTTGTGTCCTTCTCGATTTCACGCATTTACTTCATTGTATTCTTGGACCAGGCCAGAATACTATCAACTCAACAGCTTCAGATTAGTCCGTGCACATGGACAACAGCACCTTCCCAATAGCTTGGTTCAGGTGCTACATATCCATTTTACACTTCAATCTTCCTAAGGTACTCTAGTCAGGGATACGCCGCAGCATATCCCTTAGGTTAGCTGTGGATTCGAAATCCTCCAGCTATCCGAGTTTGGGTGGTTAATAGAATTTTAATCAATCATTTTTAAACATAACAAATTATTCCAAAAGATTAATAATTCTATGGACCAAAGGAAGATATTAATTTTTTCTTTTTCTTTCATCTGAACTGTTTCAAAATTTGTAAACATAAATGTTTTTTATTTCCAAAAAGGAAAAGGAGATAGGTTTGGAGCAAGAAAGCCCTAAAACTCAGGAAACAAAAGTGTGTGAGGAGCCTGAGCCTAGTGCTAAAAACCCAAATCTCCGAAACAGATTCAAAATTTCGAAGAAAACAAAAATAGTATCATTCCTCATCCCATAACTCGTTTAATTCGTCGATAATGTTCTTTGATTCTAAAATCTCTGCTTTAGTGTAATCTCTGATATAGAGTTTGTAGCAGTTAGATACCCATCTGCCTAAAACACAAATCTCATCAACAGACGTTCCTAGCGCAAACCTTAGTGAAGCGCCCCCGACTCGGAACGAATGGCCTAATAGTCCGTCGAAACCACCGGTGCGTAAAACTAATTGAATCCTATTTACCGCAATCGAACGAGTTAAATGCTTCCTCGTGCCATCGCTATAGAAACCAAAAAGTGATGTTTCATTTCCTTCTGCTTCTGCTAATCGTCTTTTAATAGCCAAAACCGGACATAGCATATTCTTCAAACTATGTAGTACGATTTGCTGAGGTTTGCCTGGTGATGCTGTTTTTGCATTCCGAATCGTTAAAAGTACTTTTTCGCCAATAGCCGATTGTATAATCCGAACGTCAGTCGTTAATACCGACAGTTGTGAGTTCAACGTTCCAAACGGTTTGTCGTACGTTAGTTCGCCGATCCTGGCCATCCCCCAAAACGCAACGATTGAGAGATCCATAATCGCCTTATCCGCTTTCCCACCTGGAAATAAGGCATTTGATAGCCATATGAGGTGTTTCAGCATGATCGCCGGTTTTTTCGGTTTTAGGGGCCTCGTGGCGTCGACTTTTGCAGATGCTTTCAAGAGTAGGTCGATCCGTTTTTCTGCTATGTCTGGGTAAATTTCGTTGTGGAAAGTGTGCCAGGCTTTGATCCCGCACAGGTATTTTTTGATTGATGTTGCCGAGATTTTGTAAGAGTTATTTAGATATAGATTTCTCCCCGCCCAGAAACAGAAATCTTCAATGTCTTTACCGCTTGCTGGAAGTCTAAAATCATGGTATCCTGATAAATTTTTGAAAAATACAAATTTTTTAACTGCTGCATTATAACCAATTAAAGTATTCCACTTCCATCCGGATAGCAGGTGAGCATCCAAAGTTGATACGGGGTGATGGGTACTTCCCTTCGATATAAAGGCCTTTATCTTATTTAAATGGTTAATAGTTAGAGATTCTGAATTTATTACGTCAATAAGGTCGGTCATTGTGAGCGCTTAAATTTCCAAGAAAGGACACAGATAATCAACAATTTCAGAATAATATTGAGCCTATAAATCAAGATCACAGAATCTACAGGCGACAACCAGTTCTCTTCATGCATGGGTCAACCATTGCCCCCATTCTTTTGGCAAGTCGAAATAGATCCTGTTTTCCCTTTTCAGGGTGCCCACCAAACCTCGCGACAAGGCGTCTGCAACGTTGTCCTTTGACTTAACCCTCCTTCCCGTAATATCAAACTCGTTCCTAATCAGTTCATCCTGTATCCATTTCCATTCTTCATTGACGTCGGTATCTTTTGACTTCCGTTTCTCAATCACCGATTCTGTCGTAGTATTATCTGTCCATACAATTACGTTGGACCCTTTTTTCTGCCTTCCCAAGTGTAGAAGCATCAGTATTCCAACTCTCACCGCCGCTGTCTCCAACCAGGCAATCGTCTTATGGTTGTCGTCGTCGCGCCAACAATCCCGTAATTTTAATTGGGACCAGTACTTTCCGATGAGGACCCCTATCCCAAAACTTGATGAGGCGTCTCCGATCCAGCCGATCTCCTTTGGTTCTGACGACATGATCAGACGGGTTGGATTGAACGATTGTAGTACCGACATCCACCTAACTAGATCTTTCTGAACGTCTTCTGGTGTTTTCCTCTTCGCTTGTACATCGAACCAATTGAGCATCCATCTATACAGCGACCTCAGATAGCACTTTAATTGCGGCAGGATATACGTGACGTGGTTTAGTCTTCCTGTCAGGACTTCTACGTCATTGAAAGAGAAAGATTTCGAGTCGTCTTGAAATTCCTGTATCTGTAATTTTCGCATTTCTAGCTTCTCGTCTGGGAGCCGTACAGTTTTATCTTTACCGTTCCAGATGAAGCCTATGAACTTCTGTTCATCCGAAAAGGCCGAGCATTTCTTTTCGTTCGTCAAGACCCCTAATTTCATTGACCTTCCAATAATATCTTTCATCTCTGTGTCGGATGATAAATGCTTGATGAATAAGTTATCGTCGACCCATCTAAAGACTTTGATGAGGTCGAATTCATTTTCCATTATCTTCTTCCAGGCGTCTGCCGGTCTCCCAAAGGAACCGCAGCCAGCGACACCCCCGAAAGTTATCCTTGTATCTAGATACAAATTTCCGTCCAGACCTTTAACCATGAGATATCTCCATTGAGACGGATGCGTAGGTATCTGTCTATAAGCTTTCTCCCAATCAAACAAAGCTAAACTAACTGGGCGGTCCAATTTTTTGAAGAAGGACGCCACTATATTGAAGTCGTCCCATGTTGTTATAAAGTCATCTTTATTGACGAAAGAGTTTACTGAAGGAAAATCCGGGTCGCCATGTGGAAAGGATAGGTCGTTAATAGGCCTAACGGATCCGTCTCCATTTACTACTGCTCCTAAAGGGCTTGAGCGAAAAAACCCTAGGTGTGCATATGCTTCTTCATGAGTGAATGGTCCGTACATTCTCTTCGCCTGTATCTCCTTACCCATAGATTCTTTTATCTTATCCGCTGCTAAAGATGAAGAGAGGTGATTATCTGGGGTGAACCATTTGAGGTCGCTTAGTGTATGGTCTGGAATCCCTTGATTGAATCCATATCTGAACCCATGTAACACATCCCTGTACTCTCCCAACAGGTTTGCGCTTGTTAGTGCTTTTTTCCACAAATCCAAATTCATCTCACAAGAGACGCGAGTAGGCCATCCAAAAGAATGTCTAGAGTACAGAATTGGCGTGATTGAATTGCGCAAAGAAGGAGAAACCAACAGAGAAACAGACAGATGTTTGCAGATAAACGAAAGAGAGAAACAAGAATCAATAAAACCAGACATAGGGCAAGACATTGTATATAATGCGATACACAATACGAGTCATTAAGGAAAGAGACCGCAAGTGTTCGTTATACAGTCTCAGGGGTGGCTACTAATGCACCGAGTACGTAACGTCACCTACCTCTGATTATTTCCTTTCTTCCCTCCCTTACTGCCCTCTGCTTTGCCCTGAGGGTTGTCGGAGTAATTTGAACCGCGGTATCCGCCTCTCGGTCGTTTCTTCCCTTCGGGTCCACCAAAGTTGCTCTGACCATAGCTTTGGTGATAGAAAGGTCCATTCCCCCCCGTGTTATAATTCCGATGTTGATGATTGGGGTAATTATTGTTGCTATTGTTGTTGTTATGATTTTGAAAATTGCCGCCCCCGTACTGCTGTTGCTGTTGCATATACGGGTTGTGGATCATTTGGTTGTTGTTGAAAAATTGACCTTGTCTTTGTTTCAAGCAGCCGGTAAGCGGGTCGTGGTTTGAGTGGGAGAGGCCGGGGGCGTATAGGTTTTCTTCCCACTCTAACTCTCCAAAATTTCTGCACTGATTGTAGCATTGTTCGACGACTGACTCTTTCCGTTGTGAGATGTCGGGTATCGCGTTCTTGACATCTTCATCTGTTATGCGGTGCGAGAAAGTATTGTTGCGGACTTCCATATCGTATCTGAATGCGACCATGAAACCGAATTCTTCTGTGATGTCGTTGCAATTATTCTTATGAGTACCGAGTAGCTTGGAGAACTCAATAATCTTGTACACGTCATTCAAGGTCTTGCGGAACGCCCGATGATTGCGGGTCCATTGCGCGTAGGTTTGAGTCCATTCTTGGACAAAGGCAAAACCTTTGTACCCACCAGATTTGTCTCTATCATTCGAAGATTCGTCGGACTTCTGGCGGCGATCTAAATGGTGCGCCATTGCGCGTTGTTGCCACTTGCGATTGAAAATTGTAAGGGGTAGGGGTGACCGTAACTTTCGGATGTTTTCATCTAGGAACGGAGCGAACCCAACGCTATTGTGGTTCGTGACTGATCCGATTGCGTAGACTAGATCGCCTTCGGTTAGGAAGAATTTCTTTGATGTGGCAGGCTCTACCGGAGCCTTGGCTGCGACGGTCTGTGGATGTGCTGGCGTGTAGGTGACGCCTGTCTGCCCGTAGAAGCTCGGGATTGCGAACGCGTCAACTGAGGCTTCTGCGCGTGGCGCAATGACCGTGGCTGGTTGACTTGCTTTGAGAGAGCCGATAGCTTTGAACAGCATCTCAGCTAGGGCAGGATCTCCGGCGTCTTGGGCGGCCGTAGCTCGATTCCACATTTCTTGACGTTCACTCATTAAGGAGGATGAAACAATCGCTGAAGACAACTTGAAATTAGTGTCCGAATTTTATATACTTTCCAGTCTAAATGTATGAATGACTGCTCACCCGGAGATCTATCTACAACGGGTTCGTCTATCGTTAAATCAACTCGGTGGTTTCTAGGTAAACCGACCGACGGAGCGTACGTTGCCGCAAGGGCTTGTTCTCTGCGTACATCGCTGGTGTCTACATTCAAGGACGTGGGTATGTTCATTGCCGCAGGGGCTCGGTCTCTGCGCGATTCGCTGATATCTTCAATGAGGGAATATACGGTCCCGTTGTTTGCTGAAGGAAGCAACACATGAGATGAGTGTCAATCTATCTTGGATTGTTGCACTTCAGAATCTGCGTCAAGTCGCTCGCAACCAATTACTTACCAGTGTCGTTGTAGCTGACACTGCCATTTAAGGCTCTCCCGTTGACGTCATGGGTTTGACTGCCGTTTAAGGCTCTCGCGTTGCCATCATGGGCTTGAACTGGTATGTTACCGTCATTGCTGGGTTTCTCTGCACCACTGGTCGATTTCTCTGGTTCTGTGCGTGAGTCAGACGGGACCAACGCCTTCGTGATGGCTATGTCTTCGAGTCTACTGGTCGTTGACTCTTTGATCTTCTTCGACGTCGCTCTGGTGCTGTTGGCTTCGACCATGATGATGTGTAGTGAGAAGTGAAGTGCGAGGATGATTTAAGGAGGGGAGTTTCACGTTTAAAGAGTGTTTGCTTGTGAGAGCGGTTGGTTGTAAGAGTAGTAGAGACAAAAAAGAAAAAATTCTCGGGGATTTTTTAATTTGTAAAATAAGAGTAAGATTGAAGGATAGGATAATGTTGAAGAGTTGAGTGATGGAGTGAGGAGCAAAGTGGGGAATGAAGACAGGGGATTAAATCCCCGTTGTGTCCTTCTCGATTTCACGCATTTACTTCATTGTATTCTTGGACCAGGCCAGAATACTATCAACTCAACAGCTTCAGATTAGTCCGTGCACATGGACAACAGCACCTTCCCAATAGCTTGGTTCAGGTGCTACATATCCTGTGTATGAAGGAAGAAAAATTCAAAATTTTATTATTTATCAATGAAGGACTCAAGATATGGACAAATGGATTTCAGAAACAGAATCTACGTCCAATTTAACCCCTAGTCACTCACTGGAACCACCTTCATATCTCTACTGGATCAGAAGTTACACAGATCAAGGATGTCACACGGAGAATCACAGGATCAGAGGCACTCAGCTGGAGGGTATATTGCATGGGGGTATATTGCATAATGCATATGAAATTCCTTTTATTCATATTGAATTCCTTTTATTCTTACAGAACGCTCTTGAGTCAACCATGCTCACCAAGGAAGACCCTAGATGTATCCCAGGTGCCCACAATCTGTTTGCAAAGTCTCACTCAAAAGAACATTGTTGGAAAGTGTATCCCAAAAAGAAGGAGGAATACATGAAAAGAACTCAAGGATTGAATGTCAGCAGTTTCTCAACTTTCTCATCCCACCATCCAAACACCTTCATCCTAGACTCTGGCTTGACCTCCCACATGGTTTCTGATAAAAGCCTGTTCATTCATCTAGACCAAGCCAAAAAAGGACTAATCAACCCAAGTTGCGGATCAAACACTCTCAAGATTGAAGGAAAAGGATCTATTTCTCTTAGATACAAGGATAAACCCATTGTCTTTCACAATGTCCTCTATGTTCCAAAAAGAATTGTCAATCTCATTTCTCTTCAACACCTACTACTTGAGAAATGCAAATTGAATTTCTCTGTCAATCACTTCACTGTAACAAAGAACAATGAGCTCTTCTTTGATGGAAATTATCATTGCAACATCCCTATTTTCAACTTCGATCCTAACAATCAAAAATTGCATCTCAATTCTGCTGAACTCCTTCATAAGTCCTTGGGTCACGTCAGCTACAGAAGGATCAGGAGCAAGATTGGAATCCCGACCAACACTCCAGAAGCCTGCAAGTCATGTGCTGTAGTAAAGATCACAAAAGCTTCTTTCCAAGCAATATTGTCCTTGGCATCCAAGCCTTTTGAAGAGATTCATCTTGATCTCATTGGACCAATAATGTTAGAGTACTCATATTCAGTTTAGTCCTCATTATTCACTGTTAGTATGCTTCACACATTTCACACACATTTCACATTCATTTCACTCATGTTGTAGTACACCTGAGGCAGCGTTCGTGGAAGACTCCTTTCCTCATCCTTCCACGAACATCCTCACTCACCCGCATCGTGTCCGCTGCTCTCAGGTGTGTTTCTTTCTCTTCTCTGTTCTTTCTTTTCTTTGTCTTTCTCTCTTTCTCTGTCTTCTGTGAAATGATATCTCATCCTTCCACAAACATCCTCACTCACCCGCATCGTGTCCGCTGCTCTCAGCCCTGTTTTGCTTATCAAATAACTCCCGCGTCTAAAAAAAAACACCAATTCATACTCACCATGGTCAATAACTGCACGTGCTTTGTATTGGCAATCCCTATTGTGTTGAAAAGTGATGTTTTTTCAACCTTAACTTGATTACTCGACATTGAGGCCAATAGATTTGGTTACCATCCATCTGTTCTCCATTCCGATTGAGGCATGGAGTTCACCAACTCAGAAATGGATAGATACTGTTGCGATCATGTCATAAGAAAGTGATTCTCCGATGCGTATACCCCCCAGCAAAATGGGTTGGCCGAGAGGTTCAACCAAACTGTCCTTGAATGGCTCAGGACTATCCTCCTTGACTCTGGTCTCAGGCAAAATCTTTGGAACGAGATTCTGAGCGCCTGCACGTTAACTCTGAATCAAGTCCCTACCCACAGAAGCAAGAAGAGTCCCTATGAACTATTCAAGAATCAAGCCATCCCACTCAAATTCTTTCATCCTATCGGCAACCCAGTCGCTGTACATTCCTCTCACAAGAAGAAACCCAAACTTGAACCAAAGGGTGAGATGGGAATCCTAGTGTGCTTCAATCCAAAACTGAAATCCTACTGAATCCTCACCAAAAACAGTATCATCATCAACTCCAAGAGTGTTACCTTCCTTGAATTTTCCCCTTCCGAGAGACTCAACATTGATCACAATGAACTTTTGATTGAAGAAAAAGCTGAACAATGCTATTAAAGCAGCTATGCTCAATCAGGAAGAAGAGGAGGAGACTGAGATGGAACTGCGGGCTGAAGAAAAGGATACCTCCGATTCAGAAGACTCAGCCAACAATGATATTGAAATTGTAAAAACTCTTGTTCCTGAGGCTGAAGAACCAGTGGGCAGAATTCTCCGCAACCGCACTCTTCAAGTTAAACCCCTCAAATACTCACACTTTTCTGAAGATCCAACATCCTTCAAAAAGGCAATTTCTTGTTCAAAAGGAGACGGTTGGATGAAGGCTATCAAAGATGAACTCAACAAAATCAAAGCCCATCAGGTCTGGAACAACGCTGAAACAGATACGGTATCTTCCATGTATCACTATGTATCTGAGCCCCAATAAAAAAAACTATCTGACCAATCTGCTTTTATTTGCAAGGAGATTCAACAAATTTGGTTTTTGACCATGCAGCTTTGCAGAATTCTCCATTATACACACAGTTTATTGTATCTGTTACAGCTTTGTCTGGAAAGACAAATTTGAAAAACCAAACAAGTTCATCGACTCCACCTGGGTATTCAAGACAAAACCATCAACCCTCTCATCACCCAAAAAACAAAAGTCTAGACTGTGTATTTAGGGCTTCCTGCAGACATTTGGACAAGATTTCTTTGTGATCTTTGCTCCCCCGGGGAAATTCCCATCACTCCTTACCCTACTCGTCCTCGCCATTGACCTACAACTTCCAATCAAACAATTCAACGTCAAGAGTGCTTTTCTTTTTGCCCTGCTCAAAGAAGAAATATACATTAAAAGGCTCCTCAAGAACCGCACCATATCTCAAACTTGAGAAATCCCTGTGGCCTGTACGGCCTGAAACAGGCCCCCAAAAACTGGTATGAAACCCTCACAGGCTGGTTCAAAGATATCAACTACATTCCCTCAGTGTCCAACACTTGTCTCTTTATACACAAAGACAAGAATTCATTCATTTTTTTTCATGTCAATGACTTAATTGTGGTTGGACAGGTTGAGAAATTTGAAAAAATCTTCCTTGAACACTTCCCTAATTCCACAGCGCACTCTCCTGACAGCCACCTGGGAATGAAACTCAACATTCAACCTGACTTCATCAAACTCTCTCAACCAGGCCTAATTGAAAAAGGACTGGATTCACTTGATTTACAGAACTTTAAGGCTGTAAAAACGTCCATGACGCCTGCCATACAACTGAGCACTGCAACAGATGAAGACCATCAAGCCTGCCTCAAGCTTGGCATTAACTACCGCTCGTACACAGGTATGCTCAATTATCTTGCCTGCCGGACTCAACCTGATCTGGCATCAGCTGTTTCAATACTGTCAAGATTCAATCAGAGACCCGGGTTGAGCCATTGGAAAGAGGTAGTACACTTTTGGAAGTACTTGAAGGGGACCAAGGACTTTGGCTTACTCCTGAAACCTAAATCAGACTCTCTCATTGACCGCATCAATTTCTTCACTGACACTACGTGGGCTGAAGATCAAGAAACCCAAATCTCACAAAGTGGATCCTTAGAATTCTGGAAATCCTGCCCCATTATGTGGAACAGCAAGAAACAGAAGAATATCACAATTTCGTCCACTGAATCTGAAATGAATGCTCTCTCCAACGGCAAACAGGAGGACCAATGGTTAAAAATCCTGATAGAAGAGCTGTGGAAGAAGAAAATAGCTCCCACTTCTTTCTCAATTGACAACAAAGGACTCCTGGAAAAATTGAAAAACTTTGGGTCAAACAAATCTCGACATAAAGATAAAAAGTCTCAGAGAAAAATTCAAAAAGAAGAAAATGAATGTTGAACTCATCACCTCCGACACCATGATTGCCGATTTGCTCAATAAAGCCACTCCTCACTCCTCCGTCAAGAAACTGCAGGATAAATGTTGAATTTATTTGGCGGAAAGGCCGTAGAAAAGATACTTTTTGGCTCAAGTTGGAAGGGCTCAAGTGCTTCACAACTGAGACTGAAGAAGGGCTAAAGTACTCCTTCAGGAAAGGCCCAGAAAAGAATAAAGAACCGATGATTTTTTTATTTCTTTAGTAACTAGAGAGTTTAAATAATCTAGATACAAAATGTGCAAAATGTGGGAGCTGGTGTTGAGGCATATTGAATAAAAATAAAAAAAATACCGGTGAAAAAGGAGTATCATTCAAGAGGAAGAGGAGACAGAGAGATGTCAAAGCGAAATTTCAACAATAAATGCCTCTCAGTTCTTTCCCATCAAACAAGGAGGGCTGTTCAGTTTTCTACTATCCGCACTCCTAGCCGCAACCTCAGCCGCAGCAAAGATAGCCGTAATTCTTAAAAGACTGAAAGTACTGTTGAGGTACTCATATTCAGTCTAGACCTCATTATTCATTATCAGTATGCCTCATACATGTCACATACCTTTCACTATCATTTCACATATGTTGTAGTACACCTGAGATAGTGGTTGTGGTAGAATCCTTTCCTCATCCTTCCACAAACCACTCCACTCACCCGCAACATGTCCGTTGCTCTCAGGTGTGTTTTCATTCTGTTTCTTCTTTCTTTCTTTTCTCCTTTCTTTTGTTTTTTCTCTTTCTTTTCTTCTGCTATGTGAAATGATAAGATCCTTCCACGAACCGCTCCACTCACCCGCAACGTGTCCGTTGCTCTCAGCTCTGTTTTGCTTATCAAGTACCGCTTAGGTTTTGGGCTCAATACTCATCAAAACTGCTCCCCAAACCAATCATTGAACTCTAGACTCAACAA